TTTTTTCATTTTTTTCGGCCGGCTCCTTGCCGACATCCTCTAGGACCTCTGCGTCCTCGTCTTTAATTTCTGCCTTCTTTGGTTTTTGAATGTTGCAGGTGGATTTCATTGCTGCCATGGAGCAATTCTTTGCCTGCAGCTGATCTTCTCTGACCTCCTCAATCCCATACTCTGTTGGGAACCGTAATAGTTGATGCAAAGTTAAGGGAACAGCCCTCATTGCATGCAACCGTGGCCTTTCCAAAATGATGTTATAAGGGGAGGGTGTGTCAATTACGGTGAACTCTGTTGTTATCTTCCTGGTGCCTACCTGCACCTCCAAGCTGGTTGTTCCCAGTGGCCATGTCGGCATTCCATTGAACCCGACCATTAGGCTATTGGATTGCTCCATGTCATCTGGGTGAAGGCTGAGCTCCTTGTAACATCGAGTCACAAGAGCTGCCTTGGTCAATCAGGATGCGCTTTACTTGGCATTCCCCAACCTGGAGGGATACTACCAAGGCATCATTATGCGGATGTTACACCATCTCAAGGTCGGCTTCAGAAAAGGACACTACTGGTCCGTGGCACTCCTCTGCCCGATGTCTCTTCTCCCTGACTTGGTAGACATGCAGATGTTTTACCTTCTGGGTCTCGCCCCGAATCTCGTTTTCGTTGACCTTCGAGTGAATTACATTAATTACCTGAGGTCCTCCTGCTTGTGGTTGCTGTGCTAGGGGAGGTGGAGCTGTTGTCGCCTGAGGCAATCTTGTCTGTTCTTCCCTTATTCTGGTCTCATCAACAAGGTCTCTCAGACGGCCTTGTCTTACTAGGTCTTCCAAATGTGTTTTCAGGGCTCTGCAGCCCTGAGTTATATACTCGTTTTCATTGTGGTAAGCACAATGCCTGCCAAGGTTTCTTTCCATGAATTCTCCTGGTGCTTTTGCTGGTGTTCTGAAATAGGGTTGATTCCGAATTTGATCCAGGACTTTGTGAATTGGGATTCGGAACACAGTTGTCACTACCTGTGTTGCCCTCAGTTCTATCTCCGGTTTGCTGGATCCGTTGTTACCTCGGCCTCGCTTCGGCGAGTCGTTTCCCTTTTCTTGCTTTGCCTCATTAGTCCCCGATGTATTTTCTCCGGCTCTGGCGTACTTCTCGATCCTTGCCATGAGCTCTTTCATGCTTTTTGGTAATGTCTTTGCCAAAGATTTTCATAGTGGGCAACTGTCTTTCAGGCCTTCTTGAAAGATATGACCGCCACCTCTTGATTACACTCTGGTATTCAGTTGAACACCTCATAGTACCTTTTTGCATAGGCCCTAAGGCCTTCTTCCTTACTGATCTTTAGAGCCATCAATGTGTCCACCCTTAATGGCTGCAGCTTGTTTGTCACGAACCTGGCCACAAACATCTCGGCTAGGCCTTCCCAGGTCTTCACATTTCCCTTTGGTAGTTTGTGAAACCAATCTGATGCAATCTCCTCGAAGGATGAGGGAAATACTTTGCAGAGCAACGGCTCGTCCCACTATATAATGCCATCGAGTTCAAGTATAATCCAATGTGAAAGTTGGGGTCTGACTTACCATCGTAAATTTGGAACCTTGGCATATTGAATCTCTTTGGTGCCTCATATTTGTCTAGCTCCACCGAGAATGGTGTTCTCGGCTTTTCAGGGGAAGTCACCTCGGCATCGGTATCGGCATTTTGCTGCTTCCTCTTGAGGTAATCTCTCAAGTCTTCTTTGCTTCGTCCAAGAGCTCGGCTGTCTCTTGACTTCAGTCCTTTCGGCATACTACTCTCAGCTTCATGGTGGGTCCTTTTCGATCTTTCTCCGTGAGTTATGTCAAAGCAGAATGCCTGCCCCTGAACATGCCGATGTTCTTTGGGGTCTGCCTCCTTCGCGCGATGCGTCCTCCAGGATTCTTTTCTCCTTGACTTTCCTCGTCCGACCTCTCTTGAAGGCCGGTGAGAGTGTTTTTCACTCCTGGTATGCTGAAGGGCTATTGGGATTTACTTCTATCCTCCCTTCTGAGCATTGGCCGCTGGAATCGGTGTGCCCTACAGCGGGAACGGTGGCTGCATGACATTGTTTTGCATCATAAAATTGACGACCGATTGCAGGTTTGCCAATTTATTTGCCATCTCATTTATCTCTTCATTCCTCCGCAGGCATCTATCCTTCTATACCTGGAGGTCATCCTCATTGTAGTACCCACTTCGATTTGGCTTCTTTGGTACGTCGCCATCCTGGACGACGTCTTTCTTGCTGTGATTCTGGTCACGAGTTTCTAAGTTGCGGTTGTCTCCTTCGATGTCAAGGTCGATAGGTCTGCCACTCCCAACAGGAGTGTCGTCCCCAATCTTTTCCTTCTGTCCGTCACCGGCCATCTATTCTTCTTTCTTTTCCACAGATGGCGCCAAATTATGTGGGTGATTTTCCGATCACATTGCCCAACTTAGTATTCAGCTAGAGAGCACTGGCAGAGTAGATGACACCTGACTGACCTGCAACAGAAAGAGAAGATTCCGGCGGTGGTTCGTCCACTTGGGGGTACTCAGATGATCAAGCCAGTATATCTCTCAAAGATAATCAATAGTGCTAAACTTACTGTTCAGAATATAAATTGCGTACCTTAGACCTACGGGGGTGTCTCTCTTTTATAGTTTAACTTAATCCTTGTCCCAACAAAAACTTAGCTTCAATGGACTCTTGCTCAGTGCTTATCCTGGACTCTCTAAGAGATAAAGATAAACTCCCTAAGAGTGTTATCCTTATCTATGCTATAGTCCCTCCTCATTCTAGGACTCTTGTGCCTTATTCGTTTATCTCGAATTCTGATATTTTCGGAGATAACCTCGGCCTTGCCGAGATAACCTCGGCGTCATGTCTTGGACACGTGGCACCTTGGCTGATACGTCGGCGTTACCTTGGCCACGTGTTGGGACTTAGAAAATATATCCCCACAGTATCATAAAGATTTTTCATCATTTGATTAGTGTGTGATGTTTTATTATAGGTGTAATCTAAAAGTGAAAAATCTTTCATGATTATTTTCATACTATTTTTTTCATGATTTCTAACATTACTCATTTTTAAATACCACCACAAATAACCGTAATCTATACAAAAATTTTCTGCCTTTAGTTTGATTTTTTTATAGACTACTTTTAAATTAATTCTCATTTATTTTTATTGATTTTTTTATTTTATATTTTAATAATTTTTTTGTACTTCTTAAATGCACTTAATCAAGATACATCTAACAAATAAAACAAATTTATTAAAAAGGGTAAATTACATTTACCTCCCCTGAGGTTTCTGACAAATATAGGGACCTCCCCTGTAATTTGAATAATTACAGTAACCTCTCCTACTTTACCTGACAATGTCAAGATTCTCCCAAACTGTGACTGTCGTTAGAAGATCTAATAGAAAGTGCTAATGTCACTCATTATAAATTATAAAATGTCCAAAATACCCTCACTGCATTCTAATTCATCCAACTTCTACAGCCTCACTGCCTTCTAATTCACCTTCTACTCCTGTCATCGCCAAACACCAACCCATTCGCCATTGTAGCACCTCCCACAAAATCAGAAATATACATAAAGGTATATATATGTAAGATATTTATGTATACATGTATGTGTGTGTGTGATATATATATTGATTCAATTCTCTTTCTTTCTTTTATTTATTCAATCAAATATATATATATATATATATGTAAAGGTATATCTATGTAAGATATTTATGTATATATATGCATAGGGTTTGATTCAATTCTCTGTTTTATGTTTGATATATATATATATAGATAGGGTTTGATCACGCCGCGTTGGAGGGAGGAGTTCAAGAAGTCACCGTCGTCGGCGGAAAGGAAGCAGAAATCGAGTGACGGAGACCAGAAAATTGATGCATTTAAAGATTAAATATACGATTTTGAGGGAATGTTCGGAGGAGGAGGAGGAGAAACGGCCTAGCGTAGCGACGACGGCTTCAATATTGGAGGAGGAGGCGGAAACGACACCCTAAGTTGAAGCGAGCTTGAGAGGAGAGAGAGATGCTGAGAGACCCTCGACAGGGTTGCGATCGTGTGAGGCAGATACAAAGCAGCTGCTGTGGGCGTCCCAGTCGCAGTCGTTGCAGAGGAGGAGGTTGTCGGTGGCTAACCATTTCTCTCTCTCTGAAAACCCTAACTGGTATAGGAGCTTCAAAACCCTAGAACTAGAATGGAAGAAATTGAAAGTACATACTAATTTTTGCACAAGCTATTGAGGAGAATAATCGCCGATGGGCTTTGGGATCGCCGGAGGCAGTTGTATTGGTCGGAGAGATTATAGGTAGGAGAGAGGAGATAAGATGAAAGAGAGATGGGGACAGAGCATGATGTTAGTGAGGTATGAATGAGAGATATAGAAATTAAAAGGTATTTTGGTCTTTTTGTGTTCAAATGAAAAGGCAATATGGTCATTTTGTATAAATTAACGAATTGGGAGAATCTTGACATTGTCAAGTAAAGTAGGAGAGATTACTGTAATTATTCAAATCACAAGGGAGATCCCTGTATTTGTCAGAAACCTCAAGGGAGGTAAATATAATTTATCCTATTAAAAATATTTAAAAAATCACTAAAAACAGAAAAAACTTTTGAACAAAAAGTTACATCATTTTTGCACAAATAGATCAAAGCATCTAGATTGGTAAAAAACAACCCCCTCTCTCTCTTTCTCTCTCTCTCTCTCTCTAATAATGAATGTAAAGGCTTTAAACCGTCCGTCTGTGATTGGTTTCTGCCAACCGATTGTATCCAACTTCAGTTCAAAACCCGTTTGGATTTGGTTGAAATTGTTTTTGATTATTTTAACCAATTGTATCGAACTTCAGTTCAAACTCCGTCTTGATTATTTAATTTAATTAGTTCAAACCGATTGTATAACAGGTTCTACCAACTGATTAGCAGAACCTGTTATACAAAACTCTTCTGAAAAAATTAACCAAAAACATTCTGAAACAATTGATCAAAAACAATCCACTGAATTTAGGAGAAATACAAAATGTTAAACAGACAACAAATATACATAATACATGCAGCCCAACTGCAGACGCACTGTATGTGTTTGTATGAGTATATCATTCAATTCATTCATCAATAGAAGAAGATTATGGAAGGAAAGATTGCTCACAAGAAATTGCAACTGTTCAATCAGAATGAAGAAGTCGATCTTGCCTGAAAGACACATTGGATGGGCAGCCACTGCACATGATCGTGATGGCCTTTTCATGCACTACTTCCAAGTGGAACCTCCAAGCTTGATAACCTCTTCCGCACCACTATCCCTATTAGGCAGCCTATCTCTTCCAGCATCCTCTTTCTGACTGCTCAAGTCGCCGTACAAGTCTCTAAGCTTGGCCAGATTGCTAGATGCAGAAGTCTTTTCCTTGTTGCCATCTCTATGTGGGCTGGAATGATGATCAGGATGTGCACTATGAGTTTGGTTGCTTTGACTTCTGCTCCTGCTCCTGCTCCTGCTCCTGCTTCTCCGATCATGGCTGCTCTTATCATAATCCCTTCTGCTGCTTTCTCCGGACCTTCTTTCATAATCATACCGCCTATCTCTGTCCCTTTCTCGCGCCCTGTCCCTGCCCCTGTCCCTGTCCCTGTCCCTGTCTCGCTCCCTAACTCTATCTCCGCTTCTGTCTCTGTCTCTCCCTCTATCCCTTTCCCTGTCCTTTTCTCTATCCCTGTTCCTGTCCCGTTCCCGGACTCGGTCACGGTCTGGATAATCTCGATCAGACAAATCACGACTCTGGCTCCGACGGTTGCTGGGAGATCTTCGTGAATAATCATCTTCACCATTTCTATCACTAGAAGGTGGTCGCATTGTACGGCGAACAGGGGATGAATCCCTAGTTGATGCACGATGAGGAGCACGTTGACCAAAAGAGACTGAAAGGGCAGCTTTTACAGATGGTGGCCGACGGGCAGTGTCATCAGATCCACGGGTGGATTCTCCCGTCACTCCACAATGTTTAGTAGGGAGATTCATCTTTTCAAGGTTGGATACAATCTGCCGCATTACAGGAACAGGGATGCGGGGAAAGAGAGTATCAAAATAGTACTGCAAGAGAAGGCCACATTGTAAGAGCCCCCCTTTAGCTCCAAAACACAATAATAAAGGCATCAAATCGTGGGAATTTCATATCAAAATGAATGAATGACAAACAAAGACATCAATCATATTATTTATACAGTAATGAAACCTACGAAGCATGTCGGTACTTATTAAATCTGACCACTAAATAGAAGCAACAGAAGTTCTGAAAACAAAAATAGTATGATTGGAAGATTGTAAATAAAAACCAGGCAGGGACACCTAAAGGATGTTCAACCAATTAATCAATGGTGCACAAGTAGAAATCATTTCACATATATTGGCTAAAAACCTCCAATCGTGGCTCATAAACGTCAAAAGTAGGTTTTCAGATATGAACGGTCGAGCCAAATCAGAAATTACACCTATTTAGAGCATCCACTGAATGGGACTTGTAACTTGTAAGCTTACTAGATTTCAGTAAAGAACAGAGGTTTCCCACTCCACTAAAGAGAATGTGTTAAAACAATTCAAAGCATCAGGCAAAAGAGGCACACTTGATCGCATCACATTCTGAATAGTGACAGACTTATTCTCTCTGGGAAGAAAGAAAAAAGCAATAAATTATTCCGGCAGTTTGAACTGGAGAATTTTTTTAAGAAAGTTTGATATCCAAAGGGCAGGTTTTTTGCTGACATAATTATACGAGAAAAAAAATGCACCATTTTAATTTGGATGCAAAAGGACCAAAGGATTGACCTAATGGTTGAGATAACTCTTATTAGCGTGATTGAGATTACTCTTATTACTGTGAGATTTGGGTCCGAGTCTTACTGCTGCAAGATGCAGCATACCCTTCCCTTATTACCCGCCTATTGATTGTTATAAAAAATTTGGTCTGAGATGTCATTTACACAGGTACACATCATAATGCATTGACAAAGGTGCAACATGTGATTATTTCTTATGATCAATGACACAATTCTTCGCAAATACTGACATCCAAGCCATTTGTCACATGAAATCTAAGTCCACCAAGTCCACTAACAAAAATTATCATCTAAATAAACTAATGAAAAGAATATGGTGTTTACCAAAAATCAATAAACAAATTAGGCAAAACTATGATGTTGCAATTACAAATCGATCATTTTCAGCATCATTCTTAGGAAAAGTTATCCTTCCTCTCTCTCTAGCCAGGTTATTCTGAGAAGGATGTATACTTCAAGGTTTAGATATTGACTTGAGGCAAGATTCCAAAAATGCACAACTGAATATGGTAAAAACTTGGATAGCTGTTACCACGTGCCTCATGCACAAATGTTGGCAGTCCCATTTTTTTCCTCACCAGCTCAATCTGGCGAGAAATTTACTCAAATTTAGGAACATTTTATACTCCAAAAACTTGAAGACCCTTAAAGAATTGGTATGCCAAGAGGACAGACATACAAGATAAGGAGAAAACAGGATAACCTGAGGGTGTGGAACCCTTGACTGATTTCACTGGTGACTGCCTGTAGACATTATGGTATCCTTTTGTTGTCCCCGCCAAGTCAGTTCCTGAAATGAAACTCAAGACTTTGATGGAGCTTGGGTTTCTAAGGGGCTTATTTGATGTTGTAAACAGAACCGTCAGTGAAATGACGCAGGGGATGCATTTGACACTGTATTTTCAAAGACTTTCTTTAAAATGTTTCAAGCATCATCCTCAAAAAATTTTACTTATCAAAACAAAAAATCAAGTATCAATTTGTAGAAAATATTAAGCCATAAATGTTTCTATATCCAGTATTTGTTTAAGAAAAGCATTACCCAAACAAATTCAACAGAGGAGAATAATGCAGTTATGCTGAAGTATGCTTCCTGTACCAAACTGTCACAATGACTGACTGAGGTGTAATAGAAAAGCATTTGAATAGGCAAAACATCATAACTGAGTGAGCATTGTGCAATTCATATATTATGGCGACTGACCTGTCCAAGAAGTAAATCACGCACATACACGCCCATAGTGGTCATTTGGCCATTAGATCCAGGAGAGAATTCCTGAAACAGCAAATCATGATTGCTAAACAAATAAAAAGTGCATACCACTAAATACAACTATATTTACACATTTAAAAACTAAATGATGCAACTGTCGAGAAATGGTTTGGAATTATATGAGCAGTCTTGGTTGAACTCGAACTGCCTAATCCAGAAGATGATGCATCTTTAAAAATTTTAACCTTGAAGTTAAACCTAAAACTAGACAAGCAAACCATCTGGATCAAGATCGTCATGCAATAGCAGAGTAACAGGTAAATCGAGTCTATGTGATCCCAAAAAAAAAAAACAAAAAAAGGAATTCAAGGCTACACGTTCCAGGGTTTAATGTTGTTCAATATGTCTTAGTCATTCTCACCAATCCGAAGACCAGTAAAATAAAAATGACATCAATAGGGGCCCTCTTTACAAATGCTAAAAGATACATCCGCTAACCTTTAAGGCACAACTCAAATATAGAATACCATGGGTTAAAAGGGACTAACAATGGCTCAACTAAACGTTTAAAAAAGGTCAGTCCCTCCTCCAGAGGGAAAAAAGAAGAAAGGTCTTGCAAATATAGACTGAGAGGACAATGACAACAAGCTAACCATTTTATCAGTTATCAAATTGTACACCTTAGACTAGGCCAAATAACCAAGGCAGGCCTGCACAAGGCATGCAAGATAGGTTTTTGGTCTCCATGATTTGTGAGGAACTCTTGTCCAAAACAATGTTTTCAACATGTCTGAGACTTGCATCTTACCATATGTCTCTTGTTATAGATATCGCTAAATTTTTTTGGGATATTTATTTGTTTGCAAGCTTTTGCAATGGATCTCAAGTAAAGGTAGTTGAAAGTCTTGTCCTTTTTAAAACATTTTATACTATCTCAAGGGCCCACTGGCACTTAACCTCAAAATATGAATACATGTGTATTTATACTAAGCACAATTAATAACCAACCTCTACTTCCACACCCATGATACATTAAACCACTTAAATTTAAGCCATTTCATATTTCATCTCTCCACTCTTCATCTCTCTTGGGTTTTCTCCATTGAATTCCCCACCCTACCCTTTCTCTCCCCATTTTCCTCACTCCCTACTCCTCATTTCCAAACCTTCTACCTCCTCTTTCTCTTTTTCTTGGATATTACATTGAATTCCTCATGACAAGAGTCAAGAGCATCAAGATGTCATAAGTTTATAAGAAACATAGGTTGATTAGATGGTTGTTTCCTTCTTGATAAATAAGTACGTTACTGAAAGTTCAATTTGACTCCAAGACAAGTTGTGAAAAAGATTCATGCAGCTTAAAAAAAGGGATCTGGATATCTAGTTGGGCTAGGTTGATCTTAAGTTTATAGCACTTTCTCCAATTCTACCAACTTGTATTATGTGTGATTCTCGCACCTCAAAATTTGATGGCTTTCTAGTTGTTGACGAGTCGTTTTAAGGTTCATCAGCCCAAGTAATTTAGGGTATAGATTTATTAGAAAGCTTGGTGAAGTAGCCTTAATGAGATGATATGACACGCAAGTTTACAAAACACAACATTTGGGGGCCTCACCAGCTCAATCTGGGATGGTATTCTAGATGAGGAGGTGGAGAATTATTGTTCACTACTTAGGGCAGATTTTCTTAGACACATATTTGGGACAGGATCTTGACAATCCATTATTTTCCATTATTTGATTAACAAGGGATAGATGCTTTTCTTCATATCCATTCCAAATGGCCACGATGAGCAAGTGAAGCTTTCTAAGAATACAAATACTAACATACAAAAACAGGTTTCAGTAAGAAAAGATAGCCAAAATATCTAGATATACCTCTTCATCTTTGACATATGGTTCAAACCAATTCCACAATGTTTTTGGATCTGCAGCATATCTCAAATAGAGGAATCCAACCTGCAAAATAAATTTTGAGTTGTCAATATCTGCAGATAAGTGTAAGACTCTGATCAAACAGATATGTGTTTTTATATTTTTATTTGTGGATAAGTAAACAGATAGATGTTAATCCAGATTCCATGCCAGATTTGCATTTGTTTACAAGTACCAGATTTGCAAACATTCTTTTCAAATTTTCACTAAAGAATAAAATAGAGCTTCCAAAAGGGAAAAGGAAATGGAAATAAAATGGGGTTATAGCTTTCCAAGCATCTTGAATGTCATGACACTAGTGGCAAAAGCAGAGTTATTAACGTTTGAAGCAACATGAGGATATGATCAAGATGCCATCTGGAGCAGAACAATAGTATTTTAGTGTTTGTTTATCCTTAATATTGCTGAGCAAAGCAAGGCACATAGCACACGCAGGTTAGATCTTTCTTTACCATAATAAATTCAAGTTTAAATCACATACTCCAAACTTCTTAATTTGTGGACAATCAACAAACCAGTGTGAACACTCCTGAAGAATATGAAATCTCATAACTCAATAACCAACATACAGATAAAATAAATGCCACCCAAAGCTTTACTAGTTACTTTCGATGTGTTTCCATTATCAAAATTTGGTGAACCAAAATTAAAATGTCTCCATCTAAAATTCCACATCTAAATTTTAGCAAAGTTTGGGCAGTTGTATTAACCTCGTGCTCTTATGGTCTCTTGATGGTTTCTCATGTACTTAAAACTAAAAACAATGTGATGATGGTTGTCTTTGCAAAGAAAACAAAAGTAAAGACCTCATAAATATCAAGCTTCCAACCAAATAAGCTTGAGCACAACGCATTAGCCCTGCCAGCTCTTCCGCCTCTATTGCCAAGAATTCAAATGATGATTTTGAGAAGTCTTAAAAGTAAAGGAATATATTCATAGAAGTATAAGGATAGCATGTTGGTGGGCCAGACATTCTCCTTAAATATAAGATAATCCATCGTGCTAGTATCCAATATAAACAGAAAACCTTATTCTGAAAAGCACCCAAACCTTATACTCATTCTTCTTATTGTTCTTCCAAAATTTTACATTACTTTATTTTATGTAACTTTTAAATTCTAGAGTAATTAAAGTTTGAAGGAAATTATTGTATCTCTTATCAAAGTGTATTTTCACGTTGATGAATTTATATGATGGTGGCTTTTGTTTCCCTTTCAATTAGATTTATATTATAATAAAGTGGATTTATATTATAATGTGAACTAAGCAGGGCTAGCCACCTCACTAGGAGTTCAAGGGTTCAAGTCTTGTCAGAGACAAGACTCATCCCTCCCCACGCAAAACTACAATATACCCAAAAAAAAAAATACTATAATGCAATAATTTTTTATTTCCCATTCAAAAAAATAATTTTTTATTTATTATTATTATTTTTTTATCAATGTGAAAAAGGAACTTAAGTATTTTTTATTTTTTTTTTGTCCGTGTCTTTCTCAATATTGGAAATTTATTGGCCGATTTAATTATTTTTTGGTTATTATGCATATAGACGTGGATCTTTTGGTACAACTACCGTACAATAACTTCACTAAAAATGGAATAATTAGTACTTTGTTGTTAGTTTTTGAAAGCATATGGTTTGTCCCTCCCAATAACGATTCATGGGTCTGCCCAGTTAGCAACAAATTTAAATTGCCTCTTCTAACCCATCCCAAGAAAAGCAGAAGTAAGGTTTCAAGTCTTCCATGCTATAAGCAGCAAAATTTCATCATACCTATAGGGCAATTTTTGCTCATTTGAGCTTATATACCATGTTGACTGGATCCCAATAAATCCGGACGTCGATAGAACAAGGTCAACAATTATGAGTTAACCACAATGGCATTACTTCAAGCAAGAAAATATTTGAGGTCACATCTCCATGTAAATATCAATGGCTTCCCAAACATTATTAATCCATGCACAGAAGCAAGTTACCAACGGGAAATGTAATAAGCATCAAAAGCATCATACAATCTAAAGGAGGAACTACTCACACATCTTATGTAAGGAGAATCTTGATGCTTTAACAGGCCATGCATTTGTTTGACAGTGAGCTTCATAGTGAAAAACTTGTACAAAAGACAAAATGAAGTTGAAGGACCTCGACAGTTCCCAGTCATCCATGGCTCCACGTGATCAACTTGATTGTAAATCTCGTCTATAACTTCATGGTAAGTTTTCAATCTATAAAGCTCTTTGAAGTAATCAGAAGAGAGAATGTTCATACAAAGAACCTTCTCCAACAGCTGATCAATTGGTTTCCCCGAAGTTTGTACCTCCATAATTTGTCGTAAAATGCAAATGCCTTGCACTCTGTATTTAAAATTCGTGAAGAACAAAAAATTTATAAATAGTCAGAGCCTATTCCTGCAGCAACAGCAATGAACCCGTCAGAGAAATCCAACCATATTCACCTTCCATTAAAAAAAATCCATATTTCATCTACTAATATATTAAGAATACACAATAAGTGAACAGTGAATGCAAGGATACCAAACCCAAATAAAAACTTTCAAAAACACTTAGGCTCTGTTTGTTTTGACGTAAAATATTTTATACCAGAAAATAATTTTCATCTAAACTAATTTTGCACAAACAACAAAAAAAATTTTTGTTGCTCTACATTTAGTTGATACTTGAAACAAAAAATTTCTATCATCAATTATGGAATCGGAATTCTAGTTCAATAAAGTTTCCATTATGCTCTTTTATCAAACAGTTAGTGAGCTAGAGGATACCTACTAGTAAAAGTGAAATGTGCCAAAAGGGTCAAAGCATGCAGGGACTGAACTTCATGAAAATTGACTCACGCCATTTTCAATGGTAAGTCATTTTCAAGACTCCAATGAAACATACTTTCCTGAAAATGTTTCACTTGCTTTTAGTTCAACCGAAGAATGGAAATTGTGTAAAATACTTTTAGGAAAACATTTTACTTTGAAACAAACTAGCCTTAGTCAAGACAAACCGGTAATTCAAAAATGAAGAAAGGCAATGTTAGAAGCACAGTTGAAAGCAAATTCACATTTGGTGTGAAATACACAGAAGAGATTTAGCAGTTGCAAAACCAATAAAGCCAAAATTAAAAATTAAAAAAAAAAAATGCGTGCACACAAACAACAAATTCAATCGTAAATCTCTTCTATTATTAAAAGGTAACAACAATTTTGGAGTATTGAAGCTGATTGCCATAGAAAATTTTTCCAATTTTTCCTAAAATGACCTTAACTTCTTACACTTATATCAATTTTTAATTAAGAGTAAAATAATAAATTAAAACAATCAATTCCACTTTCCCACGTCTCCTTATTACTACACAATTCTAAAGCTATGTTACCAGAAAACACTAATACCCTAACGAATTATGTATTGGTATGCACGTTTCAAAATTGTGTAAAATACTTTTAGGAAAACATTTTACTTTGAAACAAACTAGCCTTAGTCAAGACAAACCGGTAATTCAAAAATGAAGAAAGGCAATGTTAGAAGCACAGTTGAAAGCAAATTCACATTTGGTGTGAAATACACAGAAGAGATTTAGCAGTTGCAAAACCAATAAAGCCAAAATTAAAAATTAAAAAAAAAAAATGCGTGCACACAAACAACAAATTCAATCGTAAATCTCTTCTATTATTAAAAGGTAACAACAATTTTGGAGTATTGAAGCTGATTGCCATAGAAAATTTTTCCAATTTTTCCTAAAATGACCTTAACTTCTTACACTTATATCAATTTTTAATTAAGAGTAAAATAACAAATTAAAACAATCAATTCCACTTTCCCACGTCTCCTTATTACTGCACAGTTCTAAAGCTATGTTACTAGAAAACACTAATACCCTAACGAATTATGTATTGGTATGCACGTTTCAAAATATGGTACACTTACATTCCAAAATGATAAATTTCAAGATCGAAAACAATCCCAAAAGTTTTTTCCAATAAATTTCCTAAAATGTTTCCTTAGGAGGAAAAAATCAAATATAATGAATTAAAATATAAGGTAAGTTAATTTTTGACAAGACAAAACATAAAAAATGAGTCATAATACTCATAGAAAAGTTTTGCTATATGAAGAAAAAAAACTAAACTTTATTATATGCCTAATAGTTAAAAGAAAATTACTCTAAAATTACCTTAAATTCGTAAATATAATATATACAAGTCCACCCCTATCGTACTACATTTTAGAGCATGTGGCGTACCTCGTTCCCATTTCTATTCCCCCTACCGGAACGATCCATGTTCCAGGTAACATAGTTCTAAAGCAGTTAGAACATCTTCACTGAAAAGTTCTGAAGCAAGCTTTTCGTGGACTGCATTTTGCATTTGTTTTGATGAAATGATGAAAAGTTCATTGAAAAGTTCTTTTCTGAAAGCATCCTACGGATATATGATTGGTTGTATATTTCTATTTGATAAGTTTTCTTTTGTATGTTTCTATTTGGTATATTTTTCACTTTTTGTTTTGGTTTCTCCTATTAGAAGATATTTTAATTTTATAAAGCAACATCCTTGCCCATGCTTCGGAAAATTATGATTGTTACATGAGAGATGGTGGCTATGCTTTCTGATCTCACTCATCGCATTTGAAGAAGTGTTCCTACAAACTTCAAGTTGTCAATTTTTTCTATTCACTTGTTTTTGTTTCTCCTATTCTATTTGGTATGTTTTGTATATAAGTGCATTTTATTGTTGCGATTTTATTTTTAAATTGTTAGTTTTCTTTACATATATCAAATATGTTTCAATGTTACTATTTATTTTTCTTTATGAGTGTTCTAAGAGTCTTGGGTTTATATTTTTCTATTTTGTGTGCTTTATTGTGCAGTTTTAATTCACTTTCACCATCTTCACTTCTCTCCATTCACAATAAAATATCACTTTTCTACTCAAGAATATTGCAATCTTCACCATATTCACTTCTCTCTATTCACAATAAAATATCACTTTTCTATTTAAGAATATTGCAATCTTATCCTATACTGTAAGTGTAGTACCTAAGAATTGTCCTTATATTTTTTATTTTCTTCATTGAAAAGTTCCATTATGTTATCAAGTTCTTTGGAAAGAAAGAAAGAAAGAAAGAAAAGAAAGAAAGAAAGAAAGAAAGTAGAATATAAGAAATAATTATGTATTTCTTAAAATAAATTTATTTGTTTAAAATTAGTTTTTTTGGGTTTTTTTATATTAAAATCTCTTTGATAGTATATGAGTCTTAGGTTTGTAATTTGTTAAAAAGTTGTTTTTTGTTTTCTTTTGTGTATATTAAATCTCTTTGAAAATAAGTGTTCTAAGAATTTTGAATTTGTAATTTTTTAAAAATTTGTTTGTTTGGTTTTTTTTTTTTTTTTTTTTTGGCTGTTTGTTTTTTTAAAGAAAGACTTTTTCTTTAAAAAAACAGTTTTTTCTTTTGGTTTTATTTTTTTTTAATGTTAATAGATTTCACTATTATTATTATTTTTTTGCGTATATCATGTCTCTTTGATTATAATATTTTAAGAGTCTTGGGTTTGTATTTTTCTATTTTGTCTACTTTCGTATTTTTATATTCATTTTTTTGGTTATTCACTTTTTGAGCTTTTGTTTGTTTTTTGTGTATAAATATTTTTTTAAATAAAATTTGTTTGTTTATTTTCTTTATTTTTTTGGTGTGTGTGTGTGTTTTTTTTTTAAAAAAAATTCAATGTTCTTAAAAAGAAATTTTATCTTTTTTTTGTTTGTTTTTCTTCTTTTTTTAAATTTGTTTGTTTATTTTCATAATTTTTTTTGTGCGTGTTTTTTCAAGAAAAAATTTAGTGTTCTTCAAATTTGTTTTGATTGTAAGTGATTAAGAGACTTGGATTAGTGTTTTTATGCTTAACCACATTTTACACAAAAAAAATAAAAATACTCCAATTACTATAGGATTACACCAAGGATCAACCTTAAATCCTTATCTTTTCGCTGTAATTATGAATGAGTTGACACGCAATATTCAAGATGATGTACCATGGTGTATACTTTTTGCAGATGATATCGTGTTAATGGATAAGAGTAGAGAATGAATTAACACTAAATTGGAGATTTAAAGAAAAACACTTGAATCTAAAAGACTTAGGATAAGCAAAACCAAGATAGAGTATATGGAGTGTAATTTTAATAACAATCACAATGGAAGCAGAGGTGAAGTGAAAATTGAGAACCAAGAACTACTTAAAAGTGAACATTTTCGTTATTTAAGATCGATTATCTCAACGGCTGGGAGATTGGAGCGGATGTGATCCACAGAATTAAGGCGGGATGGGTTAAGTGGATGAGTATTATGTGATAAACGAGTACCCATTAGACTAAAAAAGAAGTTCTATAAAACGGCTATTAGACCAACGATGTTGTATGGGACGGAAGGTTAGGCAACTAAGAAACAACAAGTAAATAAGATGAATGTTACTAAGATGAGGATGCTACGGTAAATGTGTGACAAGACTAAAAAAGACAGAGTTAAGAATGAATATATTTGAGAATGGTAAGAGTAGTATCGATAGAAAATAAATTGAAGAATAATAGATTGAGATGGTTTGGTCATATACAAAGGAGACGTATAGAAATGCGATGCAGTGCCGGTAGATACCTGTTAGATAGACCTAGATTGACGTAGACTAGTGCAGTAAATAGAGATATACATCTCCTTAATTTAACTAACGAAATGGCTTTGCATAGAGTCAAGTAGGGAAGAATGATTCATGCATCCGATCCCATTTGATGGGACTTGAGGCTTGGTTTGCTTTGGTTTAGGTTACTTTACGATTTTTGCTTTTCAGAATAAATAATTTCTGGTGCTTTTCTATTAGAGAAAAATATGAATTTCATATCATAATTTCAAACGACAGTGCCCGGCCGCTAGTACAAATATATATATATACATATATACACGTATATATGTATCCAATCAACCAATTATTGAAGTAGAACAACAATGGAACTTTAAAAAAAAATCTTTTGCTGGTACATTCATAACCCTATCACCATTAAAGCAGTGAGCTCTCGATTGGGACACAAATGGCGGTCAAAGCCGTGAAAATCAATCAAACAGTGGAATATACAAAATTAGGAACTCTTACCTTGTTGAATTGTTAATCAATGCCTCAGAGAGAGAGAGACAGAGAAAGAGAAGCAGCAACGAAGCTCGAAGATGGCTTCGAGTTTTGACGAGAGAGAAAGAGTGGATGTATAAACCCTAGAATAGAACGCTTTTCGGCCTGTGATTTTATTAAATTGCGATTTTAAAGCTTACCACAGAACAGAACCTAGTGGGCTGTTATTGTAAAGGCCTACCACAGGCCTGTTTTTGTTGACTCCATGTTAAACTATGACACAAATTATAAAATTTTCGATGGATTACACTCGGTCTCGTCATTTTTTTATTTTGACTTTTAAAATGTATTTATTTATTTTTATTTTTTTTATCTTGCATAATTTAAATTTTTTAAAATTTATTTCTAAAATTAAATTTTGATAAAAATTAAACATCTATATCTATGAAAATTAAAAATTAAAAAATATTTGTTTATTTATTTAATTTTTCTCTGTTGAATAACTTATACGAATTCATTATAATTGAATGAATCGAAATTACAACCTATATCTATATGTATAGGCCAATTAATTTTCTGCTCCACATAAATTCCAGTTACAAATAGGATTTTTTTTACCCATGGTAGTACTATTATTATATCTTGACAATCTATCGTATAGAATTTGATTGTCACTTTTTCGAATTAGATACATATAATTTATAAAGCATCTCCAATACTTTATTAAATTTGAGTAGAAATTTAATAAAAAGCTTAATCTAATATGATGCACTCTAATGGTTTCATCAAATTTGGACAGTCGTCCAATTTAGAGTAAATTTTCATTAAATTCATCTCAAAATCGATTGTCCGGTAGGACGTCAGGGTTGATGTCCGGCCTAACTATCACCTACAAATTTGATGAAATGATAAAACTTTTTTAATTTGATGAAAAAAGTAACTCTCCCTTTATTTGATTTGATGAAAACGTTATAACTCACTTTTTAAGATTTTTTTCATTAAATTTAAATTTGATGATAAATTTAAATAAATGTTGGAGTTGGCTAAGTAAGTCAAAAATGTAATTGACTGAAATCTATTATCCAACATAATCGAGAAAGGTGTGACTATAGCCATGAAATACATATTTTTATTATTTAATAGTTGAAGAGTGATTTCTAATATTTTGCACCATTTGGTTTTATCCTGTAAAAGAGAACTAAAAGAATTGCATAAATAAATTTATGCATTAAAATTTGGGAGACTTATTTATAAGTCATTTTTTAGACACTTATGGTAGGTTAAGTCCTGTGTAATTTCTTATAGAGTCTCAAGTTCTATTTAGATAGGAATGTATTTCACAAGATTCTACATAAACGTAACGTGAAGTGACACTTACATAAACGTAACGTAATGTGACACCTATATAAATGTAACGTAACGTGATACCTACATAAACGTAACGTAATGCGTCACGTTACATTTCGCAAATTTAATGAGTTTTTATTTTTTAAAATTGAATGTGAAAATGTTGCTGATTTATGTTGGTGTCACGTTACGTTTCATCTAAATATGATCTATGGCAACATTCAATTTGAATGTTGCCATAGATCATAGGTGTCACGTTACGTTTATGTAGGTGTCACGTTACGTTACGTTTATGTAGATGTCACGTTACCATAGATCATAGGTGTCACGTTACGTTTATATAGATATTATCTAAGATAACATTCAATTTTCTATATATAGTTTTATTGTTATTTATGATATTAACAATTAATATTGAGGGTAAATGTGTCAAAAAACTTCCCATAGGACTTATGAGAACATAAATTTTTTAGTAGAACCATATGTAGCATAAGTCTCCCTAATATGACTTATAAATAATTTTCCCTTAAAATTTCAATCCTCAAGATCAATGCTGTCGTTATAATTCTTGAAGAACCAACTTATGTTTAACAAATTATAATTTGAGATATTTTAGGAAGATAGTTAAAAGTTAATTTTTTAATTTTTCTTAACATTTTTTTTTATAAAATAAATTAAAAATTAAGAAGAGACTTTTAACCCATCTCTTAAAATAGGCCTTTATAATCTCTTCAATTTCCTTTGTTTTATGACAATCAATATGAAAAGCCTTTTTAGCTATTTATAGTATGGTCAGTGTGACATGGGCCGTATGATCCTTTTGTGCCACTTTTTAAAATGGGCATATGACATAAGGCCCACAACTGTTCACATGGCCTAGACGGGTGATTCTCTTTGTACTCAAATGGTAACTCAATATACTCAACTAAACTTTTGAAATTTTAATTTTTATTATATCCTAATATAAATTTATTAATATGGACAATATATATTAAATTTTAAAATAAAATATTATATTTTTCCTCATAGTATATTCTAATTATTTATATGTATTCAATTGAAAAAGTTTTAGGGTTTATAGAAGAATTGGGTTTAGAGTCACGAAATTTCAAAACTTTGACGAACAGGTAAGTTCTTTTTCTTTTGGCTAAAATTTCAGTCAATGTCTTGTTTAATCTACAAAACATTACACCATATAAGATCTGTTCTTGTTAGAGTTTCTTCACCAATCTACCACAATTTTTATTTCACTCGAATCTATCCCTTTTCAACATCATCATCATTGGAAACTACTCTAAATCAACACTCATTCAATTCCAATGACGTACTTCATAAAGATTTAAATAAATTAATTAAGAGAAGAAAATGCATTTGATCGCCTCCAGAGCCACAACAAACAATTGACGCAGAGCGTTTTCTTAGAGAAAAAATAGAGAAAAAAACATGTTTACCACGATTGGGTTTCGTATGTATTATAGAAAGAGAATTAGAAAATAAAAAGGTAAACCAATGAGAAACAATCTTTACAATAAATCCTAAATCTTAAACCTACAAAAAATTGATTCAATCCGAAGAGGAAATAGTATCAGCGGTTAAAAGCTATGCGAGGCTTCTTTTGTTGATCTTCAAGCTTGTGTGGTACCTAATGTTGATTTTTTTATTATTTAGGTGTACCACAAATTATGATTTTTTATTGAAAGTAATTTGTGGAAAAAAACATAAAGTGTAACAAGAGTAAATTATAATCTTAAATAATTTCATAGAGAGTACTGAGAAATTAGGCGTACTGAATAATTTTTTAGGTGGGTGCAAATAGAATCCCCGACCTAGACTGTTAAAGACATGAGCCAACCAACCATGAGTGTTATTTATTTATTTTATTTTTATTATTAGAGTTAATTTCACCTACTTCCCATGACGTGAAAATGGCAGAAGGTTTCAAAAATTTTGCAATGACTTCTATTTATTTCACTTTCTATTAACCACATCGACAAAGTGAGGGCAAAAGAGTTAATTTAACAATTTTAAAATAAAACATAAATATTAAATATCCACACCTTATATATATATATATATATTTTTTTTTTTTATGAATTCAAAGTTGTATGATGTTAATGAACATGAAATGAATTGATCATGATGAAATGGGTTGGTTTTGGTTATATTTGAAGTCAATAGATGCATGCATGTAGGAAATTGCTATGAATTTCCATGTTTGAGCATAAAGTATGTAATCCATGTTGAGTTTTAATTAATGACCATGTATTTGATCATCTCTTCACCAATTAAGTTGATATGAATGAATATTTCTCACATGCAAGAGTAGATCATGGAGGTATGAGCTTTGCATGTTTGAATTTGATGTATTGGTGATGAGTTTGGGTTAATTTGAGGCATGCATATAAGTAATTCAAGAAATGGAGCTTCATTGTGTTATGATTTGGTGTTGGTATCATGTGGGTATATGTATGTGTGAAATTGGAGCCATAATATGCAAGAAATGTGGTTGAAATGTCGAAATTGAACTCAGGAAACCATTCTGGAAAACCCAGAATTTATGATGTCCGCTCAAGCGGGGGAACCGACGCTCGAGCGGGGAATTCATGCTCCCAGTATTTTTTTGCAGGCATGGGTCCGCTCGAGCGGGGAAGTCCACGCTCGAGCGAGGAGCTATGTAGACTGACCTTCTGCTCGAGCGCCCGAGTTCACGCTTGAGCGTGAATTTGATGCAACCAGCACTTTTGCAGACCAATTGGGTCCGCTCGAGCGGGGAAGTCCGCGCTCGAGCAGGGACCCTGTTTTCTGAAATTTTGTTTATGCGTTCTGTGTTTCGTTTTCTGTTCTCCTTCACTTCTAAGTACTCTTAGGCATGCATTGAGCATTGTAATTGAGTTAAAGAGATAAGAATAAAGCCTAAAAAGGAAAATGTGAATTTAAGAACGGATTGAATTGTTGGTGACCCTTTTGTGTTCATGGACTGTGTAGGGTTGAGCTCCAGGGCAAACCAACCAACCGATCACTGTGAGTAATATAGATATTTAGAAGTTTGTCATTTGTCCAATTGCTTATTTTCTTATAAGCCTTATGTCTTATGATTTGCTAGTTTGAATTGTGGACAAATGTCTGATAAGAATGAATGGGCCAGAGGCCGTTTTGACAAGAAAGAATGGATGGGCCAAAGGCCGTTTTGACATGAATGGATGGGCCAAAGGCCGTTTTGACATGAATAGATAGGCCAAAGACCGTTTTGACATGAATGGATGGGCCAAAGGCCACTTTGACATAAATAAGTGGGTTAGAGGCCGTTTTGACATAAATAAGTGGGCCAGAGGCCGTTTTAACAGGAATGAAAGATAAATGGGCCAAAGGCCAGTATGTTTGAAACCACAGCCACTTAACTTAAATTGCGTATATAAATGTTAAATAAAAATGTGAATTGGGCCCAAGGCCGTTCGGAGTATGTTGTTCTACATATCGTTTGTATCTTCTTATTTGATATTATTCACTGGGCTATTGCTCACGCTCATTCATATGTTTGTAGGTGAGTCAAGAGAGGTCTAGACCCAGTCTATATGGAACAACCGAGTTTTGGAGAGTCAGTCCTAGTGTCTCACGCACGAGACTCGTCTTCGCCTTTCTGCTATGCTATGTTATTTTTGTCATGTTGGCGAGGACTTTGCATATGTCTGTATATAGTTTTCATGGGTTGACTTAGTTTTTGGATGATCTTATTTGTACAGAACTTATGCTACTGTATTTCTGTTGTGAGTTATTAATGTATATATATTTGGTTGTTTGGATGTGCCATGTAAGCACAGCTCTATGGACAAAGTTTTGAAC